TTTTAATCTTTCTGCAGGTTGTTTTAGAGTTTGAAATGCATCTTCTTCCAATAATGCTTGTAATTGTTGGCCTTCAAACTTTTTCCGGACGTTCTTTGTCTTTCACATAGAAATCATCACTTTTAAAGCATTTAAACCAGGGTTCACAAGTATCTTGAGATGGAGCATGTTCACCATAAGCTTCCCAAAGTATATGATAACTTTTTCTTCAAAAGAAAGTAATGAATTAAAACTTCCCGCAAACACTCTTTTTTTGGCACGAAATTCGACATTTTTAAGCGGAAAAATATCTATGATGTTAACACCTTCAGCAAATTTGACATATGAAGTTTTGAAGCTTGCTGTCAATACAACAAACTAGCATACATATCAAATCGCATATATATCAACATATGTGTAACCCCATCTATTGAAAAAAATCTGCATTACTACCTGGTACATCTAGTATATGGTATTACATGTTCCCCAAACTATATTACAATTTGCATGATAATAATCCATTATACAAATCTTATTTAGATTTGTAGCAGAAATCTTTACTTTTTAGAAAGCAATACTTTCTAAAATATGTTTGCTCTACATCAAATTATACCAGAAAAGATATATATAACCAATACAATATTCTAAGAAATAGAAGAGTTCAATAATTTGAAGATAAAGTAACTAAGATAAAGCCAACCCCACCAAATCTCACTAAAATGACTTTCAGAAACAGAGTATTAACACTTCACACTAACTCAAAATAGAGTATTTGGTTTAGTGCTGACTGTGAAAATAATCACCAAAGAAAGAACCCAGTTTTTGTCATCCCTTTTTAAGATCATCTTCAATTCAGTTCTATACACTGCCTTATAGCCACACAATTAAAATGTAAATGTTGTCAAAATATTACGTATGATTGAAAGAACAAGAAAATACACAAAAAGCAAAAATCTTAAATTATTTTCAATAAAATCTGTTAGGTTTAATCAGCAATGTTTTACAAGAAGGAAAAAAAGACAACGCTTGGCCTTAAACTCACCTGTAAACAAAAAACAACATATCCACTAACAGTCTGCTCCGCAATAACATCTTCCATGGTCCGCAGAGTGGTGCCCAGGTATGAGTTCAGGAGCTGGGTGGGAAGCAGCCCCGCCGAGGACGCCAGCAGGTAGCTGGGTAAGGGGAGCTCCGTCATCGAGAACACCGCGTTCTGCAGCCCGAACGGGATAAAAGGCCTTCACCACACAGAACTGTGCACAAGTCTGGCAAGTGGATTCCCCCTGGAAGCAGGGAGAGCTGAAATACTTTACAAGGATCTGAGTTTTAAAAATGATTATAAAAGGAATACATGCAGAATGGAGATTCAGAATAAAATGAAGTTTAAAATGTTTTAACATTCTATTTTTCTACCACTGAAAGGTAACATGTGTGACTCTCTCTTCTTCCATGAACAAGAGATGTGCACACGGTTGCTCTGTCAAGCCTCCTCCTGTCACCCCTTCACGAGCACATGAGCAGCACTGTCCTGGCTCTGGAGCCACAGACCCCAGCGGCCTTCCGGGGCTGAGCGTGCCCCAGCTACCGTCTCTGAGCATCCATCAGCCTCTTCCTCTGGGAAATGAGGGTAAAACCACCTCCCTGCATGGCTATTGTTAGGATCAGAAAGGTGTGAACAATATCTAGCAAATGCCCAGCTCACAACTGACACGCAGCAAAGGCAGACGTGATCACTGGGCAGTCATGCTACCGCTGTGTGCTGCGGCCGCATGCATCACTGTGTGTTTCACTGTGGACATGTGATCATGTGCTGCTTCTTCTGCCACTACAGATACAAACCCAGCTGTAAGGGACAGTTGTTTGCACACTAACCAGTATAGGAGGCAGAGTCTAAACTACTCCGCCAAACCTCTCAGTACTCGTGCCCTGTGCGACCTGTGCCGGGCACGGCTGCTCCTGGCACTTCTGGCCAACAGACTTTCAGCTCTCCCTCCAGCAGGCAAGTAGCTCCCTGGGGAGGCCTGCCTGGAGGCAAATTCTCTACAGTCAGGCTTGGAGTTGACTGCAGGTGTGGAGAGAGCTGCATCCCAGGCCAGCCTCCTACACAGGGACCCCCAACCACAGAGCCTGCGAGGCGGTGCTTATTAAGCCGCTCAGTTTTGGAATGATCTGTTACACAATAAATGTATTTCCATTTTTCTAGGATAAATCACTAGGAGTGGACCCACTGGATCGAATTATAAAAACTTTTCCCAAAAAAGTCCAGTGACTGTATGCCTGCCAGTAAGCAATGCATCCGTGTCCTTTCTATCACAGCAACCTCAATAACGTTTCAATCCTGAGTTTGACAGGGGTAAAGTGATGTCTCATCAGCACTATTTAATACAATTGATATTAGTATTAAAGTATGGCTTTATTTGTTCACATGTGCCCATTTGTTAATTGGAACACTACATATTTTTCTTATGTATTCATTAGAGCTGTTTATGTAGTAAGGGCAACCTTTTAGTTACTACATGTGGCAAATATTTTCCTCTATAGTATCCCTTATGTTCTGACATATAATTGTTTCTACATCTGTGTGTGATCAAGTATTACCTATCTTTTCCTCTGATTTCTCCATTGCTTTCAGCTTTAGAAAGTCTCTTCAGATCCCCATGTTAGGTTTTACCCGTATTTTTTTTGTAATTGTCTTTTCCTTTGTAGCATTTACCACTTATTCCTTCTAAAATTTATTTGGCTTAAATGTAAGAATATAAAGGAGAGGGAATATCCTATTCCTGCCCTTCCCCCATAGCCAATCTTCCTAGCATTACTTGTGGAATTAACTTCTGCAGTGACTTGTGATGCTGACTTTATTAGAAATGAAGTAACTGTATGTAAAAGGAGCCATTTGGGGCTCTAATGTGGCCCACTGATATCCTAAATCTTGTATTGTAAACCTTTTCATTTCTCTCCTTTGAAAAATTGCCATAACTAGTCTTACAGATAAATTTGAGGACTACCATGTCATTCAAAAAAATTAGTCAATTATATATATGATTAAGGTTTATTATAAATTAAACTGGATAGATCTGAAACCTCCAGAATATTTAGCACTTATCCAAAATGTTTCTGTAATTTCTCAGAAGTTTTACACCTTCCTAAAGTTTAGTAGTTTTATTTATGTACATCGTGCATGTTATTCACTTATTTCTAAGCACTTCATGTTGCTGCCACTGCCATTAATTCTGAGAATAACTGTTCCATGTACCCACCTTGGTGTGACAGTGAGACCTAGTAGACCTGGTACCAACAGTGTAACCGAGAGCTCCCCTTTGTCCACTCCTGCTTTGGGTTAAGCCGCGTCTACCTGTTCACAGATGATCCACTAGAGGCCACTCTGTTGGTTTGGAAGGTTACTCACAACTCCCATAACGGCAGACTCACATCTGCACCCCAAGGTCTTGGTGGCGCCCACAGACAGCAAGGTAGACACAGCTACCTGCCAGGAACCAGAACAACACAGCCAGCCCCAGAGGCCAAGCAGAGGCAACACCAGTGCAGAGCATTAGAGTGCGTGGGACCAACCAGCTGCAGAGACAGGGCAAGGGCGGCCTGAGGAGGAGGCACAGGGACAACTCTGTAAGCTGCATCTGGGCTGGCAGGCAGGTGAGAGGGGGCAGGTGGGAAGGGCAGGTTGGAGGAGGCAGGTGGGAGGTGGGAAGGGGCAGGTGGGAGGGGGCAGGTGGGAGGTGGGAG